CTGCCAAGGTCTGAACAGACGTGCAGATTTTGGCACGGTCGTGCAGCCTTGCACAGACGTGCTATCATCTTGCACGTCCGTGCAGAATGCCCTGCTTAGGCAGCTTAACTTTGGGAGGCTGTAACTTCTTCGTTTCTTGCTAGAAATGGACTTGTGACCTGTATTTGGAAAGCTCTTGAGACGAACTTTAATCTCCAATTTGAATCATTCAAAAGGTTAAGCAGATCAAAAGTTATGGTCGGCTGAAGTTGACGCTTACGCAAACGACCTTTCAAGGTTCTCCAAAAGCTTTTCATTTCCCTTTAAGGCATTCCTCCTTTTTCCATGGCTCTATCAACCAAGCTTGCCCTTATCCTTGCTCACTCATGCTTGATCACATCCATAGAGCTAAAAATAGCTACATTACATCAAAAATACAAACAACCCGTGAAGCATGGATGGTACAAAATTTGCATAAAAATAGGATAAATAATGAACTTTGATGTCGACTAATAACAAAAACGAGGTTCAAAAGTACCCTAAAATCATGCCAAATAACAAGTTATCAAATCCCCCCAAGATAAGCTTTTGCTCGTCCTCGAGAAAAACAATAATGTCAAACCCAAGAAGGGGAATAACTTGCTGGAATCAAAACAAGGAGGGGAAACAAAGAGAATGCACATACACACTAATCCGCTTGGTAGCAACCACTATCACTTTTAGCGGAAGTGAGAAGCAATTTAAATCTCTAAGTCGCCCTAGAGGACGAGTTTTTATCTCGTGAGGGTTTCCAATGAGCTTACCCCACAACTCACACAATCCACATCACATCGTCAAAAATCACACAATTTTAAATTTTCACCCAAGTCAACTCATCGGGATATGAGACACAAGCAAGACAAGTGAACAACTTTCAAGAATTACCAATCATACCAATGTACACATGAGTTGGGGGTAGAGAGGAGAACTAAGCAAGGTTGCACTAGGGTACTTCCTTACACCTTTTACTAGTTCATTAGAGCACATCTAGATATTCCAAAGTTGTAACAAGCCCTCTTTCGGTTATAAAATCTCAAAATGCTAGTCCACCTCCCAAAATGCACACCCAAAGCCCCTTAACTACACTCTAACTCGGGAATTTCACAAGAAACAAGAAACAACATAGTAGACAATGTGTGGGAGGCATCCACAAGTTGACCTCTAAAGAAAAGAAAATCAAAATTTTATTTTGGGGGAGTTTTTGTCCTCCCTTATTTTCTATGGTTTTTTTTTTTCTTTTTTTTTTTCAACATTCATTGCCCTCGCCTCTTTTAACTGTGAGCGACTCTTTCTTTATTCGAAACGTGTGGCTTATTATGCCACTTATTACACATATTACAAGTAGAGCTAATTCCCTAATAGAGTTTCATTTCGGGGAGGAGAGGAAGCACATTAAAGGCACAAGGGACCGCAATTTGATTCAAACATATCCTACTTTGGGAAAATTTGACAATATCCTATGCTAGACGTGCAATTGAGCATTCATCGACTTTCATTTCAAATACACTAATGCAATCAAGATTAATAGACCTCTAAAGAACCCTAACTCTTGCATACACCCTTCTAAAAGAACTTTTACTCATCACTCAAGAGTCAGGAAAGCAAAACATATTAGCATCATCATTTGAGTGTCATCCTTGGGCATTTTTTTTTTATTTTTCTATTTTATTTTTAGAAGAATATTTACAGCATTAGGCTAATATAAGCATAAAAATAAAGATAACTATACATCTAAATAAGGAGATAAGAGAGGTATTTACAAGATAAGAGATTTGGATTCAAGGGATTTGGATGTATTTGGATGTTAGGGAAAAGGGAGCAACAATCATGTAAAATCAACATTAGGCTAACATGAGAACACAACATGAACCAATGACACATGAGAAAACATTCCCCCCAAGTTATCATAAACATTGTCCCCAATGTTAAAGCAATGCAAACACAAAGAGAAGGGGAGGAAGGAACTAACTCATTGGTTTGGGCCTGCTTAGGAGCTTGAGCCCATGGGGTAGAGATGCCGGTACACATTGCGGAAATCGCCCAACTCCGATCTGAGACCCTCGAAACTTGTTCTCATATTGTCAAAAGAAGTCCTCATGCCTTTGTCTAACTTCCTTAAGTTCTCAAATTCAGTGGTCATGCGGGCGAAATTCGCATATGTTGGCGATTTGCTGCTCAAAAGAGAGGTATGGGTTGTTTTCACCGACGCCTTGATCTTGGTACCCCTTTTGGTGCCCTTGTTGGAACTCGTGTTGTTGATGAAAATGTTGATGATGTTGTTCCTCACCGCCTTGGGCTTGGTCATCTTCTCCACCCGGAATCCACTCAAAATCCGGCTCAAAGACCCAATTCTCGGGGTCGTAAATAACCATGGCTTCCGGGTTGGGCAGGGTTGCTTAAGGGCGCCTACTTACCAACCATGTGTAGGTCCTAGCTCCTTCATCTTCCTCCAACCAATGCATAGTCTTGAGGGAGCGAATGTCAAGTGTCGTTGGTTCGGGAACGATCTCTAAATTTGCAAAATTAAGATCAAGAAAAACAGCAATAATAGTGATCATCCCCCAATTGTTATCACTCCACTCCCCGAGGTTACGTCATCTAGGTGGTCTACAAGCCAAGCCCCTAGGTTTAACCTTCACCCTCAGTCAAGTGCCAAAGAAAAAGTAACTCACGGTTAGAAACTACACCCAAACTATCTCCCCTAGCAAAAATAGTGTTAGCTATTAGGCGTTGGGATAGTCTAAAGGCGGGGTGTATTATGGCCGTGGCCTGGTCGGTCCTAGGATCTCTAGTAAATAGGCTGGTGATTTTTCTCCAAAAAGATCCCAGATTATGCTTTCGGGAAGGCTTATGCTTAGGTCCAAATTTGCCATCAGTTGGCCACCCAAATGCTTGGTTTACTTCTTCTATGGTCATCTTGTGACGGGTGTTCATCAATTGGAAGGTCAAGTAACGGGGGTTGTTGCGGTTATCTTGGTGGACATATAGTGAGGAGAGGAATTCTAAGGTAAGTCGTTTGTAGGTATTAGCATGCATTTCTAACCAATTTGGGACACCGGTTTGAAAAAAAAGTTGTCTAACATCATTCTCTACACCTAAGGTTTCGGATACCTCATGGTTGTAAAATTTCGTTGGCTGAATTCGTCTCCTACTAATTCTTAGGTAATTGTTCATGAAATTAGAATTATTAAAAACAATACCTAAGGTATCCACTTGCGGTGGTTCGACGGTGGGTGGAGGTGGAGGGTTTCTAAGCCTGGCGGAGGAGGTGTTTCTTGGTTGGTTTCTTCTTGACATGATTAATTTTTTTCTCAAGAACACTTCAAGCAAGCACAACACCTAATAAACAAGGACTTGAAACACACTAGAAATTTCGGAGCCACTAGAAACGGCTGCAGCACCAGTCCTAGCCCTAGGGTTGTGGTCGCTAAGGGGTGGCATCATCGCTAAGGGACGGTTCCATCGCAAACCCAACTGCGGAACCTCTTCTTCTTCCTCAGAACTCGGCTCAGCCTCTACCTTTTTCTTTCCATGGTCGCCGGCCATTTTCGAAGGTGGTTGTGCGAAAGAGGGAAAAAAAGGGGGTACTTGAAAAAGCAAGAAAACCGAAGAAAATTTGTAGAAAATTACCTTGATCAAATGCGGAATTTGCCGATCTATAAGTTCGGAGCAACAAATTTCAGTTTCAAGGCTCGGATTACTGAATATGAGCGAAAAAAAGAAAAGGGTTTAGCAGCAATGATTAGCGAAAAGAAATTGGAAATTAGCAAAATGAAATAAGGAGAAAGAACGGGACGAGTGGCTTAAATACCTTCCAGAAATAGGAATCTTGGGAGTCCGCGCCACTAACACCCCCACTAACTCCACTTTAATGATCCACCTTTCCATCTTCTTATCTAATTAACCGCCCACTAAATTGTCCACATCCTCCATTAACTCCAAACAACCGTTATTACCTCAATAACCTCAAAAAGTTAAATGCTAATTAAATCATTTGCTTCCCTCCAATTTGCAAGTCAAAACCCACTTCGTCACAATTACGAACCGGGTTTGGGGGGCAAGTTGTTTGGGTCCAATTCACCATAATTGGCCAGTCCACAAATGGTTCAATTGCAAAGCCCAAAGAAGGTTCAACTCTTCTAAAACATGTCAGGTCAGTGAAAGACTCAAGCAACATTTGACTTCAAGGCCCAATCTATCTATTTGAGTAAGGTATAAAATAATCTTTGACTTCCCTCTCTTTACATTCATTCACTTTAAGTTTCAAGCAATTAATTCTCTTACAAAGCTTTCTCTCTCTAGAAACACTGTACTGAATTCGGCATCAGAGGCACAACCCCCTAGGCCAGTTTACGTGTGTTTGCTGTACAGAAAACCTTCGTTCCAGTCATCACTTGGGCCGAGTCCAGTCTTTAGCCCACAAGAAAGGTCCAGGCGAATGGTCTGACCCATTGTTTTCACCCGAAACACCCATTATTATTAGCATTCATCTGGCCAGGGCTTGCGAACCTTTCTTGTTTGTGTTAGAAGAGCATTCCGTTTGTTTAATGTATGTTGAGCTACATGAGCCTAGTTGGTTGAATTACTTGAATTGTTCTTGAATCACCCATATGTACGAACTTTTCATGTTACAGCAAATACTGATGTTATAGCATTCATATTTTAGTTTATTTTCTATTGTGTCTAACTGAACCCATACTGTTTCAAAGCTACCTTATAAAACGGAGCTTTATAATTTAAATCTCATACAATAGCTATTATAGTCCATACATAACAAAAAATTTGATGTAACATCATTCATTACTCAAACAAAAGAGATTAAAATACTAAACATAGCTAGACTAATTTTATAGTTTCTACCGCCCACACAAATTAAAAAACTTACTTAATCATACTAAATGCAAATTAAGAAAATACTAAACACTTGCACAAACACATACTATTTTTACATTGACAATCTCAGCTTGCAACGAGTCTAAACTTTAACGTCTACGCCTTTGTTGCCTTACCCTCCTCCTTCGCCTTGCATAACCTTCCTTACACAGAATTTTCATCACCAGTATATGAAGATAACTGCAATACCATTCTCTATATCTCCTAATATAAAGAAGAGGCCCTAAAATGACGGTGATCCCAACAGGAAACCCAACTTCAGCACCCATCAACATCCACTCTAATACGCTCTTTGAACTCCAATCTGAACCTTGTGAATTCGTTCTTGGATCAACTTCATTTCCATTAAATGGTGCCAATGGTGGACCATACAGTCCTTGGTTGCCTTCGTATGAAGATGCGTCGAATGACTGAAGTTGAGTGCTTGTTGGGATCTTTCCTGACAGCTTATTGTAAGATAGGTTCAAGTACCCGAGGAAATTCAAGTTTGCAAGTTGTGTAGGTATTCTCTCACTAAAGATGTTGCAAGACAGATCTAGAGATTGAATCTGGCTTAGATTACCGATCGATGGAGGAATCTTGCCTGAGAAAGAGTTGTGTGAAAGGTTGAGCACTACAAGACCATTCAGATTTCCCAACTCTACTGGAAGCTCGCCATGGAGTAAATTATTGGAGAAGTCGATGATGCTGAAGATTGTTAAGATGTATTGCAGCTCATATGTATTACCTTTGAGCGTGACTGTTGCTGTATTTTGATAGTACCTGTTGGAAATATTATCATTGTAAGAACAGTAGAAATAATGTGGCCTAAAGTAATGAATGTATGAATTGTTGTTACATGTGAACAACACTGTCTTAAAAGCAAATTTTACCCTAGAAGTAATTTAATCAACATCAATAGCGTTCTCGCATTTTATCCAAGGTGGTAAAATGTTAAAGATAGAGAATGAGGATTGTACCTTTGATTTACGTTCACACAGGACCCTGGTGCTACATCACTTATCAAACGACCTTGTTGTAATTGTTGGTCACTTGTTCCAACCATCATTGATCTCCAATTAAAAAGGTGTTTAGCTCTTAATTCACCTCTGAAATTATTCACGGCTAGGTCCATAATTTGAAGCATTGGCCAAATCGAGTGATTAACCTTTCGGCAGCCTACTGTTCCGTAGAATTCGTTAGATCTAAGGATGAGAACTTGCAAATTGGGCAACCTTTTCAAGTGACAAGGAAAAACGTCGTTAAATCGATTATTCCCAAGATCTAATACCCGTAATCCTTCGATATTGGCAAGTGATCGAGGAACACGTCCTTGAAAAAAATTCCCATTCAAGTCTAGTGTTTGCAAGTAGCGAACATTATCTCCAAAATTAGCAGGGATGACACCTCGTAGATTGTTTCCTTTCAAATTAAGTACAGTGAGGAAGTACAGAAAACCGAGACAATCCGGAATTGTCCCATCCAAGTAATTGTACTCTAGGTTAATGAGACGAAGTGATGTGGTATTGCATAGTGCCGTAGGGATGCTCCCATACAGGCTATTGTTTGAGAATGACAAGAAAAAAGTTCTAGATAAATAGATACCAAAGTCTGGGTCGATGGAAGTAAAATTGTTGTTGGAACAATCCAAATTTGCGATTTTAAATGGAAGAGGTGGAAATTTTCCTTGGAAATTATTAGAATGGAGATCTATATAAATGTTGTGACCATAATCCGTCAAGTTTGAGATTGGGAGAGGGGGTTCTAATTCCACCAATCGGTTACAAGAAAAGTTCCAATGCACATGTCTAAAATCTAAGCCAGGGTACTTAGGCCCTATGTTCGATATTTGATTAAGAGGATCTAGCTTTAGTGTGCCATCGAACCTGTTTAAAGACAAATCTAGACGTAAAAGGTACTTACATTGTTGAAAAATCCACATTGGAATTGGACCGTCAAAGTTATTGTTGCTCAAATTCATATCAGAAAGCCTGCAAGAAGTTGTGCTAGTAGACTCATTTACAAGTAGTTTTCGACTGTCGATTGATGATGGAATGCTCCCCTCGATATGGTTGGAGGACAAATCTAAAACTTGTAGATGCTGCAACCGAAATAAACTACTGGAATTGCCAATACTACCAGTAATTTGTTCACGACTCAAATCTAGGCTAGCTACTCGGCTATCAGAGTCGCATTCAACACCGCTCCATTGGCAACAATCTGTGCTTTGATTCCAAATCTTTAGCTTGGCTGAAGCATCGGGGGAGCTGAACCTGAAATTGTCTTTGAATTCAAGAAGTATAGACTTCTCATTATCTAAACACTGGCTTAAAACAAAATATTGTGTATGGTGGCAACTGCACAATGTCCATACAATTATCAGTAAAAAAAGGAATGATGAAGAAATTAGTGGGATCTTTTTCATTTCAATGCCCATCATTTGAGCGAGGGAGGAGATGAATCAGAGATTTAATTATGCAAAGAAATAAAACTAGACACTTGATATTTAAATTTAAGAGTATAATTCGTGACGAATCCACGACTAACAAGTGACATGTACATGCTAGTCGTGCTTCTGTGCAAGTACTATGTATTTGTTGAGGATTTCTTTGCCTTTAATAATTTGAGTCATAAATGACTCTAATAATATGGTGTTGGTATTATCTAAATACCAATAAATAACTATTTCAATACCAACAAAATATTTTTGCATTTATTAGTAGTACTGAATTAGTATTTTGATATTATAATAACATCATTTAAAGTATAATTTAATATAAACGTGTGTTATTAGAGTCATTTATTATAACTCAAATTATTATAAGTAGAGAATTTATTGTATTTGTTGGTTTAAAACAAGAATGTATATTGTCTTTGATTGGCAACTTTTGATTTTGTTTAATTTTCATAGAAATTTCGGCCATTAGCTTTAATCTCGCTTGCCCTTTTTGACACATAAGTCTTGCACCATGCCACCGTGTTTTTAGTTTGTCAGACAGTTCACACTAATACAGTATAAAGTATCCATGTATGAAATTATGAATGAATGTAAGTTTCCATGTAATTTCATTCTTGTTTTCGTGGAATGCAGAACGGGGCTTTCTTTTTGCATACAATCCATGTTTATTTTTCTTGTTGACCATTAAAAGTTGTTGTAAAATAAAGTGTTCGACTATAAAGATGAAATAACCAATAAAATTGATTGAAGTAAAGATTAGTGTGTCGTGATAAACATTACTAACTTGAAAATAAACTACCGGCGCAATCATGGTACTCAATTTTATTTGTCAGCGCACTCTGCCATTGCCTGCTGGTGGTTGGCGCGCATTTTATAGTAAACCAATGTCGGTTAAGTTAGTTGATTTTTCTTAATGTCTAATTTTGTGGTTTCGAATTACTACCATGAGCTAATATGAGTAAAGTACCAGACCCGAATTGCTCGACATGGCCCGATTGGTATGGGTTTTGGCAGCTATTTTTGGCCCGTTGTTTGGCTCGGCCCGACTGTTTGGGCAAAAAATATGCAAATTTTTGGCTGATCTGTTGGTTGGTCCTTCATTTTGAAAAATAAACATTTATTAAAAAATGAACATTTAATGTTTATTAAAAATTAAAATGAACATCGATGGAACATACTTTGGCATTGTACCTATTAATATTAAATATAATGCATACAAAAATTAAATGAACATTCACTTGCACGAAAGTGAACAAACTAACATTATTTACCCTTTATTGCAAAGACATTAAACATAATGCATATAGACTAATATTATATGAACAATTGAACATTTACTCACACGAAAATGAATAAAATAACATTTATACTTTTTATTGCATCACTAGTGGAAAAAAACTACTATTAGTAACGCCCTATTAGTAACTGGCGTAAATTATGCTAGGTACTAAAACACTAATAGTAACCATTTAAGATAATGCTAGTTACTAATAATATGCATTAGTAATCGATGTAGGAAATGCGCGTTACTAATATGTTGTTTGTCAATGTTTGAAGTTTTATTAGTAACCAAACAAATAAATGCCAGTTACAAATGTAAAGTCAAATAAACTTTGACCAAATATTTTATAACTAGCTTACAAACGCTAGTTACAAAAGTTAAGTCAAATAAACTTTGACTAAATACTTAGTAACACGCTTCCAAATGCAAGTTACTACTTCTTATAACAATTTACCATCAAGGCATTTGCATGGTATAGCATCCACAAGGTTGAAAGGCAGGGATTGTGTAGACAAGACACATATCCTCGCAACCACATCTAATAGTAGTTTATCTTCTTTTAATAATGTTGTTTGGTTTGTGTGTTTAAACTTATGTCCAAAAAAAAAAATAAAAAAAAAATATTGCATTGCCTCTTTCTATAGGAAGAATGGAAACTTCTTATATAAATCTAAGTGGATGCATTAAAGCTTAAAAGTAATCATTTTTAATGTAAAGAAATTAAGGCTCGTTTGTATTTGAAGTTTGTAAAAACAAAGGGAGTATTTGAAGTTTCCTAAAAGCTTACTATAACGGTATAGCCGTGAATTGACGAATGGGGCTTTCTTTTTGAATATATATATATGGGCAATGGTCGGGGCATTGACCCCGCTGTTAATGACTTGCTGTTGAAATTGACCTGAATCCCCACATGAGTGAATCCAATATTCAATAATAATTTTTTTTTAATTTTAATTTATTACTGTAATGCTTAATTAATATGTTTAATTTTCGAATGCTACCAGGTAGGAATGGCTTAAATAGTTAGAATTTCTTTTACGGTGTATTTGAATTGAAGGAAATGGAGGGACAAGAAGGAAAGGAAAATGGAGAGATGTGATATCTTTCATTTGGATAACAAATGAGGTAAGAAGGGAATTGGAGGGATTAAATTGTAGGAAATTAATCCCTCCAATAATGGAGAGATTTCAACGTTTTCATGGTTGAATTTGGCCTCGTAAACCCAATTTCGAGGTTTTGTGTGGTCGGATTAAGGTATGTATCTCTTTTTTTTTTTTTTTTTGTTTATTCGGATTTTTTTAAATATATATGGTTGTGGTGGATGGTGGCTGCTGGAGTTCGATGTTGGGGGTTGGGTTGGGATTTTAATTTTTTTTCTTAATTTTTTTTTCTTAATTTTTGGGCTGTGATGGTTTGTTTCGGTGGCGGCGACGGTGGTTTTAGGTGGGTGGTGGGGTGGTTTGCTTAGGATGGGTGGTTTGGCCTAATTTGTTAGGGTTAGGGTTGTAGATATGGGTTCGTTTAGGTGGGGTTCGTTTGGGTGGGTTTGGGTTGGGTGGGGAATTTGGTGGTGGGTTAGGGTTCAGTGGTGGTCGTGGTGGGTTAGGTGGTGGCTAATGGGGTTACGGTGGTGGGGTGGGTTGGGGTTATGGTGGTACGTTCTGGTGGGTGAGGGTGGTGGTTTAGGGGGTGGCAGTAGGGTGGGTTGGGGTGGTGAGCAGGGGTGTAGGGCTGTGGGCAGTGGTGGATCTGGGTGGGGTAAGGGTTAGGGTGGGGCTGTTTTTTTTTTTATTGACTTTTCCGACAGAAATTTCCGTCCGAATATACCTCTTCCGACGGAAATTTCCGTCAGAAACCTCTCCAACTCCGACGAAAATTTCCATCGGAAAATTACAACGGAATTTCAATTAAAGTAAAAAAAAGCGCCGACAGAATTAAATTTGTCGGAATCTAGCCTTTCGACGGAGGTCGAATTTCCTACAAAGGTTTTTGCGACAAACTGATTCCGTCGGAAGACCATTTTCCAACGGAATTTCTGATGTTTCCGAAGGATTTTTTCCGTCGGAATCACGCTGTTTACTTGTAGTGAAATAAATCTATTATTGGCGATCACTTGAACTAAAATCATATTAAGCCTAAATCAAATTATTAATTATCTTATTAGGCGTGATTTCAAGTACAAATTCCCTTTAAACCTGCAAGAAAGGGGCGTGATCAAGCAATAGCAATAAATATTGAATAATCAAGCAACATATAATTAACACAACAATCATCATCATAATAATAAATAGCAAGATCCTAGGCATGATACTAAACAGATTAATAACAAACCCTAGCATGTCACTAAACAATAAAAATCAAAGCTTTAACTCAAACATGTGATACTGGAAACCAAAATATTAGAAATATTAATTAACACCCTAAACATGATACTAGGAATTAATATCAACATCCTAACATGATACTAGGAATTAATATAATATCTTATCAAAATCGAGGAATAAGGATAGTAAATCTACTCACTTTGATGCCTCGTATCTCTTTCTATCAAAACAATACACACGTTAGTAACTTCAAGGAAGATTAAATCAAATAAACCAAATAAATCAAATATGAATAATTGAAATATAGATTTGGGACCAACCCCTCAGAACTATCAACCTTTCATGTCGAGGTCGAAGGCAACTTCGAGAAGGGCTTGGAGTATTCATTCGAAGCTCGTGATGAAAGTATAGGGTATGATATCAAGAAGGTGTTGGGATGTGTTTAGGCTAGGCTAAGAAGATAGAGAGATTAAACTAATAGCTTAGAGTGGAGATTAGACGATGATTGTTGGTAAAGTTGGGCACGGGCCGGGGTGGCCCGCGTGCCACCCGGCACAGCCCGCCCTTCGACGCAGCACGACACGACCCGACCTGGCACGCCTGTCGGATTTCGTGCCACGGACATCATCCTGGTTTTCCAAGCACGACCCGGTACGAGCACGGTCGTGGCCCAGTGAGCTGGCCCGCCGTGCTGGCACGTTGGCCCGGCACGTGGCACGGTGTGAAGCACAGCATGCAGGCACGGCCCGCGTGCCTGCCGTTTAAAACAGTAATATTACCGTTTTTCAACAGCCATTAACGGCTATAAACAGCTCTATTTTAGCCAAATTGCTCCCCAAAATTTCTATAAATACCCACCTCCATTCACTTCCCAAATCACAAAATCACAATCTCTTTTTCTAATCTCTTATATTCTCTAATAATCGTTAATCTCTTATATTCTCTAATAATTCTCTTAAATTCTCTAATTATTTTCTTAATATCGAAAAAAATTAAAAAGTTCGTAATCGTAATTAGTGGAGCGTTGAAGCACGGTTGTAAGATCTAAACTAATCTTTAATTTATTATTGTTTTATTGTTATTATTAGAATAATCTTGTTTAATTATTATTGTTGTTAATTATTATTGTTATTGTTATAATTGTTGTTATTAATTATTATTATTATTGTTACAATTATTGTTATTATTTTTTATTGTTGTTATTGTTATTGTTATAATTGTTGTTATTAATTATTATTATTGTTATTTTTATTGTTAAAATTGTTGTTATTAATTATTATTATTGTCAATCAA